TGGTGTGTGGGGCAAGCCGCGGGCCCGCAGCAGCCAGCCCTGTGGCGTGCAGGCACCATCATCCCTCCCAGGGACAGCGCGATCCCTCCTGTACCGGGACACCCAGGGGGACCCTGCCAGAAGGAGCGAGGACTGCTGCCAGGCTCAAGGCTTGCATGCTCAAGGGCAGGAGTGGCGGCTTGAGCGCAAGGCCACGGCACAGTAAAAGAGTATATGCCCTCAACCTCACCTCTCCTTTACAAACCTCTCCTGGGGGATTTATCCAGACCAGGACCTGGGTCCGAGGCCGGTTTGTTCCCCTCCTGAAGCGGGTCCAGGGCACAGCAGCCACGTTGCTCCCTGCAAACCTGGCCGTGGCCAAGCTGCAAGCCTCGGAAACATCTCCCTGTGCTTGGCAGAGACGGGCTGCCTCATGATGTAAGTGCAGCCAGGGCTGCATCTGCCCCTCCCCATGGGGCCTGGGAGATGTCCAGGCAGGAACATGCCACCTCCTGGTCCAGCACCGCTTGTGCCATCCTGGGCATGGATTAAAACCCAGGCTGGATGCTGGCCGTGATGCTCCTCGCAGGTGCTAGATGGTAGGTGGGTACCATTTCTGAGCATCCCCCTCTGCCAGCTGCAGTGCTTTGGGCACCGTCACCCATGGAAGAGGCATTTGGGAATGCTGTCACGTCATCCATCACAGCAGCTCCACCTCGGCGCTGCCCCGGCGCTGCCTCCAGCCCCGAATCCCGTGCAGCAGGTCTCTGCGGCTTTTAAGGAATGAAGAAAAACTCCACCAGGCAGGGCAGCTTCTTCCTCCCGGCTAACCTTTGCCCGGGGTTGTCCCTCTCCCATGAGGCTGGACGCACTGGTGGCCTCGGAGGAGCCGGGCAGTGCCAGCCCACCCCAGCTTGTGAGGTGCCTGCGATGTTTCTGGGTGGCTTTGGGGACAGTGAGATGTCATGCCAAGAGCTGCAGGTGTCCCAGGGGTGTCCCAAGACATGGTCAGGCTCTCCTCCCCTCCTTGGGGGGACGAATGCTTGACTTGGGTCCCCAAAGAGAGGATGAAGAGGTCACGAAAGGTGCCATTGAGCCGCTCAGATGCACAGCGGGAAGGAGAAAGTGGTAGAAAAGCATCTGCCTGACCCCCTGCACCTGCCCAGGTACCCAAAGTGACATTATACATGTGACAACTCCAGGACTGTCACTCCCAAGGGCTCACCGGGGGAAACTGAGGCAGGGTGCTGGTCAATCCCCCCCCCACCCCGAGTGGTTTGGCGGCACTGAGGATGACCATGTCCCCAGCGAAGGCCTCCGCCAACCCATTTATTTTTTTTCCAGCTGGGTTTTTTTGCAGCCTTGGTGATATTTCCAGGACGCCCGGCCTGGCCCTGGGCACACGCTGCCCTTGAGCGGCGCCTGGAGTGCTTGGCTTGGCCGCGGCGCAAGTGGCTTATGCCAAAAAAACACCAGGCAGGCGCAGCCACCCCGGAAAGGAGAGGGGGCGGCGGGATGCCAGAGACTCCTTTGCGAGCGGAGGCAGGTTCATAGGCTGCCGCATGAGGGGGCCCAGGGGACGGGGGGGCCCGGGGGGG